GAAAATAGCAAAAAAAGTTACAGATTGGCCAAGTATTTACCAACTATTTAACTATATACCTAATTCCTTTTTCAGCTTTGCAAGCGTAGCTTCGATTTCGTCAATGTTCTCCTCAAGACTGCTACTTATTCCAGCCGAGCTTTCTCTTTTCTCTTCCGAAGGGCTCGTGAAAGTATTTTCTTGACCAGTCTCCTCGTTTGGCTCGGTCACCGAATCCATAATGTTGAGCTCCTTTTCAAGGTACTCCACAAATTCTTCCCCGATTTCCTGCAGAGGGCAAAATGACATAATCAGATAAGCTTGTTCCAAAATGTGATCCATTCAAATTCAGATGAATATTATAATAAAATTTTCTTCGTAACTAAGTTTTAATCCAAAAATGTCATCGTTATTTATTACCGCAAGTTCTTCCCAAAGACTCTTTGGCTTCCCCTGTGAAGAGGCACTTGCTTCCCAATTTCGAAATTCTTCTTGAAGGTCTCTAAAAAAGTCGCCTGCAGCAAGTATTGCAATTTTTTATTTTAGGCAATGTATTGCATTTTTATTAAAGGGCTTTACAGGAACAATGCACAACAAGGTTTTTAGAAGTTAATGAAAGAGTAAAATCACACCAATGCCAGAAGTGTGAAAAGAGTACAACTTTTTCTACCTATTGCTATTTGAACATCCGTTACAAATTCACCTGCAGCGTACAGGGATTTCAAGTATAAGCAAAATAAACATTAACAGATAGTAAACCACTAAACCTAAAAAGTATATAAACTGAAGAATGAATTGAAAACGGACAAGAAAACACAAATTTTGGATGAAAGAAAATTAACGGGAAATAGTTTTATCGATATTATGTTCAAAGCGTAGAGCCACATTTATTGTTCTAAGTCGCATATATTTCAGAAAAACACTGACGTTTTTCAATGAAGTAAGTCAACTGGGAATGCAAGCTTCTTACTATCTTCTCATCAGTCATCAGTGATCATTAGGTAAAACCTCATAGCCAAACAATGTAAGTTCAAGAAGCATCTAGATATTTACCCAATCCATAAAATTCTTCTTCTTGGGCATTTTTGTTTCGTCCATTGGAGTAGGAGAAATCTGATGTTCGATCCCCAGTGTTATATCTGCTCCGAGATTCAGGATTCAGCAAAATATTGTAAGCATGCTTTATCCTCATAAATTTCTCCTTTGCATTTACCTAAATTCCACAAAATGGAAAAGAATTTAACCAACAAACAATAATCTTATACAAAATCATTCTCTATCAACAAGGCACGGAGCGTTGTCTCCAATGATAGGTCGTGCAAAGTACGTCATGTTCGGGGGAGGAGGTGGTGGCAATTGCTCTCCTTGTCCCGCCATTGACTCAGTTTCGGGTTGCGGTTGTGGTTCCTCAATATTAAGCTCAACGAAAAGGTCGATCGATGGTGTCTCCTCTATGGGTGCACGCCTTCGTCTCCCTCACATAAACACAAACAACAACTATACCCGTGAACGCACCAATGTGAAACAAGGTAAAGCTCAAGCAACAAACACAAATTATCGACAAAAAGCAAGAGAAATTAAGAGAAACATGGAAATTAAACAATGTTCACAAAAATCAAGAGAAACACAATAAAAACGAACAACCAAATAGCAAATTAAGCGTCCTACTTGCCATCCCCGGCAACGGCGCCATTTGTTTAGTAAATTTTTGCGGTGGGTAAAGGATAACCGAGTTACCCCGACTCGGGTCGATCTCGAGGGATGGCTATTCGGAGCTTTACCTACTAGTTGATTGTCCAAATCACAAAAAGATCAAATAAAGTCCTAAACATTCTAAGCAATTGGATTGGAAGATGATTATCGCTAAACGAGCAATTAAATAAGAGCAAGATCAAATCACGAGCAAGTAGCAAACTAGATCATCGGAGTCTCATGCCATAACCATAACGAGATGATAATCAATCGACATAAGGAATAAACGAGCTATGAGCATTAGATTGCTAACCCTAGTCGTCTAACCCTAAGTGATTAAGCCCTAATCGGGTCTTAATCCTTAAACGAAACAAGCAATTAACTCCTCTATCTACTCGAGCAAGCAATCAAGTCTCGACTTTGCAACCATCATCAATCAAATCCAAATTTACCCTAATAAACATTATAAGTAAAAACGGAGCAAAAACCAAAGTAAAGAGCTTTAAAACTAAATACTCATCCTTCCATTGAGTAGACGATGAAAAACGGAGTCAAAAGCTCGAAACTTGAAAGAAACCAAAGTCGCAGGAAAATCTCTCTGAAAATAGCATAAGCTCCTAATCTAGAGAGCAAAATAAAACATAAGCTAAATTCCCAAAAGGGAAAAATGAAATAATTAGTGGATGTCCAAAATGCAAAGGAATAAAATTATTTATAGTCTAGCCCCAACACACACTAGAAAAATGCACATTAAATGGGGCACTCCCGAGCTCTCCACAAAACTCGCGAGTTCACATGCAGCAAGTGGTGCGGGGCGCACGGGCGCGGGCAGTAGATGGCGACACTCTCGAGGTCGAGGAAGGATCCGCGAGTCGCGGGTGAGGCGGACGGCATGGGCGCGCTGGGTGCAGGACTCTCGACGTCGCGGGTTTAGGCGCGAGCTCGCGAGCGTGGCGGGCGACATGGGCGTGCTGGGGCGTGGGGCTCTCGATGTCGCGAGTGTTGGTGCGAGCTCGCGAGCGGGTGTTCGGCTTCAGCATCGCGGCACTCTCGAGCACGCTGAGGACTCCCGAGCACGCGAGTTTGGCAGGTGTGTGTGCGAGGCGTGGCGTGCATGCGCGGACGTGTGTGCAGTGTGTGCGCGGGCGTGCGGGCGTAGACAGGCGCGAGCGAGCGGGCAGGTCAGGGCACGTCCGGGTTTGACTAAGGACTCGACATACTTGGTTTGAAATAACTCGTACGAGATGGCTCGATTTGACTCGGAATTGACTTGGAAGTCTTTGGAAAGTGCTCGTCTCCTTATCCTCGGAATAAATCCTGAAAATCACCACAAAGTACGAAGAAATACGCCATAAAAAAAATATAAAATAAAACGAAAGACACAAAAACACACCGAAAATGATAAAATGGACCGGACGACACTAAAACGAACCTAAAACCGACTCGAACACACACATAAAGACATAAAAATAAGCACAAAAATATAACAAATACTCCCCCAAACTTAACTCTTTGCTTGTCCTCAAGCAAACAAAACAACAAGTACCTCAAAAAGAACGACCGAGGAATCCAAAATTAATGAGCATGCGAAATAAAACTCTTATTATCACTCGGTTATCCCTAAAATAAAAATCAAATCCGAGACACTGTCCCCACATAGTGAATCAAACGAAACAAAAAATCGTCCCAAGTCATTCCACAAATGATCACTCGAGTCAAACCCCTTCATTCACATATACGTGAAAAAACTATAAACGATCTACAAAACATGAAATGATAAGCACGAGACCAATAAGCCAACTCCCCAATTTTCTTCTTTGACTCCTTTTTTTTTAATTTTTTTTAAACGAGCCACTTTTTCCAAATGAGAGTCGTTAGGACGATTATTACCTAGGTTTAACCTCAGGGGTTATCCCTGAGTCTCCTAGGCCAGTTTTCTGTGCTCATTGACCCGATCTATCTAGAAGATTAACCGAGCCAAGAGGAGCCTACTCCCTTTGACTCCCACGAACTCATTTTCGTGAGCATCTTTTTACAAACGAGGTTTCCAGTCGAGATGATCTAGGTTTAACCTTGAGGGGTTTCCCCGAGTTTTCTAGACCGGTTTCTCGGGCTCATTACCCCAATCCACGAAGTGGCTCGGAATAAGAAGAGTCTAATCCGTACTTCCATGCGGACCCACATTTTATTCCTTTTTTAGGGAGAGGCACACCAATCGAAATGTACCACAAGTGTATAGATAACACGTTTACAACGATAATCGAACATAAGGAAGGTATGCCTCAAGACAACCAATCGAGAACAAACAAGGGACGAAACAATTCCGTGAATCCACATGCGGGTTCCAATATCAACGAATCATCAATCAATTTAAGGAAACCGTCAAATTCATCAAGTACATCAAGCATGAACGATAATAGTGAAACCCATCAACAATCTCGACTCACCACTTAGCTATCTCGACTCTCGAACAAACATCAAGTTTCATGCGGGAGAGATGACACAAACACACAAAAACTCAAACAAAACCGGCCCAAGACACGACAAAAACGAAAAAATAAAGCACCAAAAACGAAAAAAATATCACCCGAACATGCATAATCACGAAAATCCCTTCCCCACACTTAAAACAAAGCAATGTCCTCATTGCTTGACCAAAAAACATAGGAGAAAGCACATAATCATGTAAGTTCATGCGATGAAACCGAAAAACAAAACACAAGAAACAAAGAGACGATAAGAAAAGCACACGACGACACACAAAAAGCAAAGAAAGAAAGAGAAAATAAGAAAAGAAAATGCGTACTCTACACGGTGGTGCACCACCGTGTGTCCAATAATGGTCGTCCAGAGGGAATAGAGGAGATCAACCGAAAGCCATCGAGCTCGAAATGAAGCCATCCGAACGTTTTAGCATTGAACACATGAATCGAGAGAGGCCAAACGTGTGTGTCTCGGAGAGATGGTAACCATGCATGCATAAACTCGACGTAAACACACGTACACGTGAAAGCTCAAAATTCGGGCCTCAAAGTCCTCGTCGATGCTCGCCATGGTATGACACAACTAACTCCGTTTGTATGCAACGCACAATCGATTACCGATGCTTGCCGTAAGTAGGTACCTACAAACTCAAAATCCCGGCAAAAACACAAACACTTAGCACGTCCGGCAAGACGTGCCTAAAATACACAAGTCTAACCCAAATATCTCAATACGACTACTCCGGCAAGAGTAGTAATCCAAGCACAACGAATATAATGAAAGTACGGAAATACAAAGCGA